ATTCTAAAATGTAACCATAAATTTGTACTATATCAAATTAAGGTTAATAAAAACCAACTGGCATTGTCACCAAAGTTCAAAAAAAAAAAAAATAATAGTTTAATGACTAGTTCTGATTATAAGTATTAGTTAAACTATAATAATATTAAATTAGAGGATATGATGACCTAATAAAGTAGTCAGATTATCAACTCTTCAAGTAGTAAGTTAGGTTTTCAAATCCTATTGATAACAAAAATTTAGATAATCACTTATGTAATATTTATATTATGGCAATTGTTACTAATAATTAAATAAAATATCTGTAATAGTGATCATACTAGTATAACTGGCAAATTATGAAATATTTGTATAACTTATTATATAGAAAATGCAAATTGACAAATCAGATGATACAAATACTAGATAAATTCTTGTAATCATATAAATTCATTAAAGTTAGATAACAAGAAATCTATTTGAAAAAACTAAATAGAAAGATAACTAAATCTTTAACAATTTTACTATAAAGACTAGTCTGAAAAAATAGATACCAAGATTGTAATACATAATTATAGTATTCAGATAAGCAAAAACCTCTGAGTTGGAAGTCTCAAAGTTACCATCAACCAGACTGCTAAAATGAACTAAAAAAAAAATATCAAGCTAATCTAATATACCAATAAACTAATTATAATCCTATAAGAAATATTTGGATTGGAAGTTTGATAAAAAGACAGATAAAAAGACAGAAATATACTAAAATACTGAGATTATGCTATGAAGTAAATACTAGAATCTGTGTGAATTCTATAAAAGCATAATAATTAAATAATATAATTCTGACTACAAATATTGATTCTGTTATAACAATATTTAGATTAATTATAAAAATGAATACAAAAAGCTCTGAGGGTTTATCTTAAGAATAAATTAATTTTAAAATTAAAATGATAATTTGAACATCTGAATATAATCTAGTGAGTTAATACAGGTTACAGATTCAGAAAGTTTAAAGTAAAACCTTTAAGTAAAAATGTTAAGTATAACAATTAGTAAAAAACCTTCAAGTAAACTTCTTAAATAGGTAATATAAAAAATTACACATGTAACCAATTGTACTCTCTCCTGTAATGGTTCATAAAATCATATTACTAAAAAAATTATTAATAAAAATCAAAAAACTAAAAAAATCACCTTAATACTAAAAAAAAAAATATATCAAATTAATTATAAAATAGATATACAGAAAATCTAGAAAGGTTATCTTAAGAATAAAAGAATACTAAAGTTAAGACAAAGATCTGAGCATAACTTAGTAAAATTAACATGAATTACATATTCAGAGTTTAAAATAAAACATCCAAGCAAGGATGTTAAGTATAACAATTGATAAAGAACCTTTGAGCAAACTTCTTAAAAAGGTAATATAGGAAAGTTATATAAATAATTAATTATACACTCTTTCTGTAATAGTTCCACATAAAACACATTACCAAATATACTAATATAGGTTAAAAGACCCAAGAGATCATCTTAAAAAAAACAAAAAAACAAACCCAAAAATAATCAGTAATAATCAGTATCCTTATGAACTCTACTTAGAAGACAATATATGCTTACCATTTATTGAACCAAACTAAATTATACTGTATAGTGAAGTAGCTGGAAACTATTTTGTTACATTAGATTTAAATAAACTTTTATTTTTAACTGTTAATTTATGTAGGTCCGGGCTTAAGATTAAATTTGGTCGGTTATTGTAGGATTTGGGTTTGTCAACTATAAATTAGAAGTTAAGGTTTTGGGTTATATTTTATCGATTCTTTAATGTAATGAGTTGGGTTTATTAACAATAAATATCACATTTACCCACTTTATACGCATCTATCTATTCTGTAAACTTCTTTATTAATTAAATTATGTATTTTAATTGGTTAATTATCACGGGAAATCACGGGTAGATCTACAAAAATTAACCAATCATGCGAATGTCTTCCTATGACCTGTTCCTTGTATGAGTTATATATCCAAAAAATAACTCGACTCGCCAACATGGAACCTCGAGCTGGCAGTGTTGTTACTAGCCTTAAGTCTAATACTTTTGTTTTAACCCTAGCTTTTAAGTCCAATTAGCCATAACCTTAAGTCTAATTGGTATAAATATATGAACAATGGCGAGCTAACAGTAAATATCACATGGCAGCTAGCCAATAGTAATCCCATACCGTGATTTAAATATTTGAATAAGATTTAAGATCTAAGTTCCTTAAGATGCAATCTTATAAAATGTTAGAAATTCATTTAAATTTGCCATAAATTTTATTTATCTTTTCTATTGCAAATTAAGTAATTCTATTGCTTAATGTCACATGAATAAATTCAATCTTACATTTATCATAATTACATAATGCACATTAAATATTATTATAATGAAAAATATCTAATAATCTATGGTGCTATCTTTTACTAATTATATGTCCTCTTTATAATCATATCATCAGTGAACATAGTAATTTGTTTGAAAACGTACCTACAAAAGATTGTGATAATGTAAAGTCATTTTCTATAAGTCCGATTAAAAATATACATAAAAATGTTTTTGTGTGATGTGCTTATAGACGATTATAGAGAGGTCTGACTGAAATTCTAAAATAAAACGCTCGGAAGTTATTTATGTTTATTTATTTAAAAGAGATAAAGTATTTACAATAAGGCCATTTCTTCCGGCTTAAAAATGGATTGTCCAGGGTCGAAAGAATATTGGCTCTCCGGTGTGAAAGTAACACCTATACCCTCGATTAAATCTTTACGTTTTTTAAGAAGTGATTTAACTTCTTCCAAAGTAGGTGCTGACCTTTTCTTTTTTGTTTTTGACAATTTTGATTTTTCCTTTTCAGGCTAAAGCAAAAAGGCAATTAATATTAAAGAAAAAAATAAAATTAAAAAAATATATATTTTTTAAAAAAAAGAAAATAAATGAAATAATAATAATTATGTACATATCGTGCCAGGTAGGTTTCCTCGATTTGAGAGTCAATTTCATCTAAATAATTAATGTATTGTTGATAACCTGATCGTGCCTTAACTTTTTCCAATAAGATTCTTTTTCTGTAATTGTTTCGTTTCACTTGTTCACGTAATTTTGACTGACATTCTCGTAACTTGATACTGATTTCGTCATCTTCTCTATCATCCCATTCAACCTGCATAAAAGGTAAATAAACTATACAAAAATGAAATGAATTATAATAAATATTACACACTAACATCTTGGTCATCCATGAGATCTAGAGCTCTCAATTCTCGCTTAAGTCGGTCATCCATATCAAGTATTTCTCGGTGACCATTCATTTGCGTAGCTTCAGGTGTGGTGGGTTCATCATAATTATTACCGTTTACTGTTGGTACATCATCAGTTACTATATCACATTCCAGAAATGCAGCAAGCACCCTTTCAGCTAAAGGACCACAAGGGGAACCTGGAATATCTTGATCCTGGCTCCTCAAAGGACCCTTGATTACATCATTCTGTCGTGCTTCAAGTTCCTCAGTAGTTTGTGGGACGAGATTTCGTTCTTCTTCGGCCCAAACTTCCAAGTAATGTTTACCGAGTTTAGGTATCGTCTCATCATCATCTAAAGGAAAAACACCCTACGAAAGAAAGTGAAATATAATAAAAATAAAACATAGATAATTTTTAAAGATAATAATGAATACCTTACCTTTGATTCTAGGAAATCGATATCTTCTTCAGTATAATCACGAATATATGCATCAATATGTTCATAAAAGGTTTTTATCGCCACTTGATCTTTTGTTGACTTTACAACAGGTGCATCTTCTACAGCCACAGTTGTAGTTTCTGTTGTACTTCGTTTTCTTTTTTTATATGAACCCCTTGCGGTGTTTGTAGAATTCTATTTTTTTTTTTTTTATATAATATTTTTATCAATATCAATTATAGATACATAAATAGTCAATCTCAATTTAAAACAAAAAAAAATGCACTCACCGAATTTTGAGAATTTCTTTTTGGTGTCGAATTTCGGGAATTCTTTGATATAAGTTTTTCAAAGCTTGAAGATTCACTATCGTCATCGCTAATACGTTCACGTTCACGATCTTTCTTTTTTTTTCTCTTAACACTTCTAAAACATTACGAGGAAAAAAATTTTTGAATAGACGAAAAGAATTAAGAAAGAATGCAAATTAGTACTAACGTGCTAGTTTTTATTGACTCCTTTCGTTGAGTAGGTATATATTCGTCCAGATCTAGGTAAGTTATATTCAATAAATTAAAAGAAGTCCAATGTTCATAATTCACTTTCAAATGCATCTATATAAAAATGTACCTGAATCATCTTTTTTAGCTTTAATAGTTGAGCCTCTTTTCTTAGAACCTTTCTCTTTTGATGTACTTTTATGAATGCTAGGACTTCCCGTTCTATGAATGCTAGGACTTCCTGTTCTATGAATGATAGGGCTTCCTAATCTGTGTATACTAGGACTTCCAGTTCTTTTAGGACTTTTAGGTCTCACACCAGTTGATCCACCGAGTTTTCCCACAACACCACCATGAATGAGGCTTCCGTTAAAGCCTCCACCCGCAGCACTGTTATTTGGACCGACGTTAGGCAAGGTGCTCAACAGTTGCATAAAACGTTCAAGTTGTACCTTTCTCTCTACTGCACTATTGCTGTTAGCTTTTAAATCTTTTTTTATATTTTGTAAATCGTGTTTGTTATAGGCTTGTAATGAAGTGGTAAGTGTAGAATTGCTGTTACTACTACGTCTTCTCGCCGATTTAGATGGGATATTAATTTTAATGAACGATTTTGGATCAACTGATTTCTGGTCCATTGCTTAAAATATAATATTAAAATTTACAATTTAAGAACATTATTATTCATTGTCTTGTGCAAAGAATGAATTCAGAAGTTCTGAGTGATTATTGGCTGATTTAACTTCGAAGTATGATTGGTAAACAGATGTCTGGGACTTGCAGATCTACCCGTGATTACACAAATAACGTATACCAATATAATTGTATAACGAAGGTCATTCCAGATTTTTATATTTAAACTAGCCTCGATATAACGAAGAAAAACCTCCAGCTCCAAGCTTCTGTGCAAAAAAAAAAAGTATTGGCTAGTCTATAACCTAATCTACTATCCACGATCAATAGACCTAAGAACGTTACAAAACTAAACAAACTCGAATATAAACTCTGCAAGCATATCATTGTTGTGTGGTCTGAACATTCTGTTGAATACTTGTAGGAGGGTTTAGGTAAATTTTTCTAACTTTTCTACCTTTTGTTAGAGCTGTAGATAAGTTGGTTCTGGGTTTTGACTTGTTGTTATAGTTGTGCAACTTGTAGTTGCAAGAGATCTGATTCTGATAAAATTGCATTGGTGAAGTTTGACAGAGGGTCTACTAGTTCTGATGTAGGAGATTCATAAATAGAGACTGGTGGAAAAGTACAGTCCTGGCAATATTCTTAATAGGTGTCTAACTCATCTTGTTGCTTAACATGTACATTAGCAAATTATAAATACAAAATATTTTGAAAAATTTTACATAATACAAAAATTTTAAAATATTGTAAAAGAAATTTCAAAATTTTTGTAAAATGCAAAATATTTTGAAATATTGGTCATCTCATTAAGCATGATACACAATATATATATATATATATATTTTTTTAACCTTAAGTAGTTATGCTAGTACTTTATTAAGACTTTTGAAATTATATACATTTATAATTACATAGAATTTCCTAATACTTAAGTCTAGTATTATTCAGTCACTCTATTGGTACCTAAGTGCAACCTGTTGTATTATCTTAGTTAGAGATAGACTACTCATCTAATTACTTAAAGCTGTAGTAGAAAGGTCTTCTTCTTTTTGTGATAAGTATATTAATTGTCTTTCAAGTTTCTTTCTTTATTTGGTTTATTTTTTCTACTTTCTTTTTCTTTTCTTCTTACTTTGTCATTTTATTCTTCTTTGTTCTTTTTTTTGATCTTCTTTTAGTTCAAGCATCTTTTTTTATTTTGTCTATTATGTTGACCTTCTTTTTTCATTCTTGTATTTTTCTATAATAAACTCTTCATACTTGGTCGTAAAATGTATTTCAAACTGTTCTTGTCACTATATCTATGCATTTTTGTATTATCTGTCTGTCTAGAATCTAACTGATCCTTTTTCCAATCTCATTTATTATTAGTCTTTTTATCAAAACTATTCTATTAGTAACTTCTTCTGTTTTTGTTTTCCCCAAATAGTATCTCATATAGCATTAAAAGTGAGATTCTAGTTTTTTTATTTTCTTTAAAACTATTTCATGCTATTGCTATTGCTATCTTTTGGATCCTTTTTTACAAGTTTTTTGTCTAATGTAGCTTGCTAAATATGCTTGAGTTTCTTTTTTATCTTTTTGGCATATTTGGCAGTCAGTCGTTATATATATTTTTGATCTTCTTTTATTTAATTCTTCTAGCATTGGTAGGTTATCTATTATGCATTTAATCACTGTTGCTCTTTTTGTACTAAGTTTTCTTATTGTACAATATACACTCTTTGTTTTATTCATTTTTTTCTAAAAACTTAACTAATTATATCAAGTGTTCTTAGTTTTTAGCTCTAGAGCTTGAATTGGATTTGTTTCTCTCCAACTAGTTTCAATTTTAGTATTTATGACTATTTTGCAAAAAAGTCTTGCTGATATATCAATTTTTCTATTTTCCTATTCTAAGTGATACTTTATTTTGTTATACTTGATCTTCTCTATAAATACTATTCTTTTATATATTGCTTCTTTTTTGTAAATAAATCTGCTCTATCATTTCATTTATCATTATAATGACTTTTAATTTTAATTAGTTCTATTTTATTGTTTTTGTTTTTGAGTAAACCTACAATATTTATTATCTATATTGCATTTTTTTTTTAAGACTTTTTCATCTTCTATCTCTTAAATTGCTTTATTAATATGCCTTAATGCTACAAGACTATTTGTATGCACTTCTATACACCTTCCTCCTAATATAATTAGAATTGCTAACTATATTGCTACTAATTCTGTAGTTGTTGCTAAGAGCCAATCTTCAAGTTCTAGTGTTATTTCTTCTTCTGGTTAGTTTTCTTTATTATTAACCTGCACCTAACTGATGCTCATTACTTCTATATTATTTTTCTCTTTCTCTTTATATAATGCTCTATTTGTATAAAGGATATATTTGTTTTTCATTCAGAAAATTTTTAGATAGTTACTAATCAATATATATCAAAAAATTGATATATATTAATTGAAATATAATAATATATATCAGCAGAATAATTATAAATTGATATATATCAAAATCAATATATATCAATAAATGGATATATATCAATATTAACAAAAAATCAATTATCTTTAAAATTATTTAAATTGATATATATTATTATTTACAAAAATTTAATTATTTTTGATTTTATTTAAATTGATACTTATCATTATTTATAAAATTTTAATTATGATCAAAATTATATAAATTAATACTTATCATTATTAACAAAAAATTGATTATCTTCGATTTTATTTAAATTGATATATATATAGACTTATCATTATTTATTAAAATATAACATATATAATATATACTTAAATATCAATATACTTTTAAATTAGAAAATAAAACTATTTAATAAATATTCATTTATTTTATTATATCTTAGAACTATATGCACTGTCTTATTAATGTTATCTAACAGTATACAATTATAATATTTAAGTAACTTCAATTTAGGGCATTCCTATAATTCACCAACTTTCTTATACCAACAGACTAAGGTAAACTCTAGTAGTTCTTGGTTTGTTTGATAAAATTTAAATATAAGAAGTACCTTGAAATAATATTTATATTATTAATTTACTCTTAAAGTATTATTTGCTTATAATCATAATTTATTATTGTTAGACAAATTTTAATAAAAAAAATTGAATTGAACAACTGTTTAATATATACCAAGCTATACCAATTTATTTCTTTATTATTTTTATAGTCATTAATCACAATATTTGAAAATATAATACTTCTATAGAAACTAGCAATAATACAAATTATGTCTATACTTTCTAATGAAGCTAAAGAAAATACCTGTATATAATTAAAATTATTAAGAGATAAAATTGGTTTCTCTTCAAAAAATTTATCAAGATTGATTAAAAGGTTTTAAAATTTCTTAATTTGTAATGGGTCCAGATTATTTTTGTTGTTTTCAAGAAAATTATCTAACTCATCTAAACTTAAAGTTCACATAGAGTTTTCAAACCCTTTTATTCAATAATATTTCTTTTTGACTTCTTTTTTAGTTAACTTTTGCTATATAATCTAATATAATGATTATTCACAATTAAAATATAATTTAACTAGTGCATAGCAATAGATAATAATTAGTTACTAGATTTATAAACATATTGTTCTTAATATTTGTTTCATATAGTCTTTTTTGTTTGACATGTGATAAAATCTTTTTATATAATTCTTATGAAGAGTTTTGTAAGTTTCTATAGTCATACTATTTATTAATTCATATTCTTGAATTGCAAATATCATATAATAGCACCAAGTATAAAGTTTAGATAATTAAAGACTGCTTTAAGAATATTTTGAAAATATTTCAACAAAATCTTTTGCCTAATCCATAATAGAAGTCTACAAAGTTAATTATTAGTAATTAGAATTTATTGAAAAGATGTCTTTCATTCTATATCTGAAGCAGATTACATGAATAATAAGTAAATGATTCTTCACAACTAGCAATATACATTTGAAGAAATTTGTAATAAACTTGGCATAGTTGTTTATTACTAATTTCTGGCCTTCTATAATCCTCATATAGGTTATTAAGAGCAAAAATTATTATTTTCATTATATTTTGCAATTTATTAGCTATCATGCAAGTTATATTTGATATATTCTTTATTATTTTAAGATCATGATATTGAGAAATTGTAGATAATCACTATTTAAAAGTTAGAAGTATTTGGCTCTTACATTGCTTATGTAAAAGTTTTTTAGTAAATTTTAACATGTACTTAAAGAAACCAAGATCTAAGATGTGTATTTGATAAAGATAGAAATGGCTTAAATTTAAGCTAGCTCAAGTTGGCTTTTGAGCCAAGTTATTTAAACCAGCTTAAGCCAGCTTGAGTCAGTTTAAAACCAAATTAAATTATTCAAAACTTATTTATAATTATATTTTAAATTAATCTAAATATATATATATTCTTTAATTAACTTAATTAATTTATTAATTATTATATTAAATTTTTTTTTTTTTTTTTTTTTTTTTTTAAAGTGAGGTCTTGCCTCGATTTCTTTATTGATTATTAATATCTAAATAC